CCGTTCTGGAGTCTGGCTTCCGGCCCCTCAGGACACACAGCTTCTCTGCACCCTCTCTCTCTCTCTCTGCAGCTGGGGAGAGTTCGCTATAGCCAGCCCAGGTCCTCCTCCTTAGCTTGTTCCTCACCTCCTTTTATTACCCCCTCGGCTCCTGATCCCACCCCCGTCCTGACTCCGCCCCTCTGTAAAGGCCCGGACGCTGTCCCTCCCGGCTCCGCCCTTCCCTTTGCTTCCTGTCTCGGGGCTCCCGGCGCCTCCTACTCTCTTCTCCCGCACGGGGCTGCACACGCCCCTTCTTCGATCCCCCAGGCCCCGGACGCCCGCGGACGTTCCTCCGGAGGCCCAGTGTCTTCTCTCCAGCGCCGCGGCAGCACCGCCGCGACCTCAGGCTCCGCCGCGTCCCCCCTTTTTTCGCCCGGGGTGAGTGTGCTGCGTTTGGCATGGGGGGGACATCCTGGGGCTCTGACGCCGCCCGTCTCTGTTCCCGGCGGGTCCGGGAACTTCTTCTATCTTCTATCTTCTTCAGATATAGCTAGAATGTGAGTCTATCTGTCCTTCTGTCTTGGAGAGTGAAGTGATTTCAGACAGCAAATCACAATAGCAGGCATTGGTAATGAGAGAAGAAACCTAGGTCTCAATTCAGTCCAGGACCGTGCATTGTCTTGACCTTCATTATCACTTGCAGTTCAGCAGCCTCTCTTTCTAATCTCCCTTTCAAATTCCTTTGTAAGAAAATTGCTACACTTAGGTCAGCAACTGAATGTCCTGGAAGGTTAAAATGTTCCCCCACTACTTTTTGAATGTTGTGGTTTCTAATAGCAATAGAAAGAGTCCAGTAGCACCTTAAAGACTAACAAAATTTGTGGTATGGTATATGTTTTTGTGAGTCGCTGCTCACTTCTTCAGACTTATTTCCATTTATTCTTTGCATCTTCCTGGACTGGATCATCCTGTACCAAACTGAGACACAGGTTTCATGTCTCATTACCAGTGCTGATATTTCACTGGTTACCATACATATATAGGCCATTCCTTTAGGCCCTAAACTGTGTCTTTCATCCTTAGCAATAGAAAAGAGCAAGAGTCCAGTAGCACCTTAAAGATTAACACATTTTGTGGCAGGGTATGAGCTTTCATGAATCACTGCTCACTTCTTCAGATATAGCTAGAATGGGAGTCCATCTGTTCTATTAATTGGAAAGTGGAGTGATTTCAGATGCCTAATGACATTAGCAAGCAAATGACAATAGCAGGTGAATAACAACTGCTGACAAACAGCTTCTAACTCGCAATGACAAGCCACTTAACAGTAACATGGACTCTGGTACCAAGGCCTGCAACAAACCAAGATGCCAACTTTGCTCTCATATAGATCCTAGCAACACCATCAATGGACCCAGCAACATCAGCCATACCATCTCAGGTTCATATTCCTCCTCATCCTCTAATGTGATTGATGCCATCACATGTCAACAATGCCCTTCCACCCTCTACATTGGACAAACATGCCAGTCCCTTCAACAAAGAATTAATGGACATAAATCTGACATTAGGAATCACAACATTCAAAAACCAGTGGGGGAACATTTTAACCTTCCAGGGCATTCAGTTGCTGACAGAAAAGTAGCAGTTCTCTTACAAACGAATTTCAAAGGGTGATTAGAAAGAGACTACTGAATTGCAATTGATAATGAAGCTCAAGACAATGCATCCACCTGGACTGAATCGAGTCCTAGGTTTCCTGTCTCATTACTAATGCTGATTTCTCCATGCCTATTATCCCTCTGCATACCTAAATCCAACTACACCTGCTATTGTCATTCACCTGCTATTGTCATTTGGCATCTGAAATCATTCCACTTTCCAATAAATAGGACAGATGGACTCCTATTCCAGTTGTATCTGAAGAAGTGAGCAGTGACTCACACCCTACCACATATTTTGTTTAAGGTGCTACTGGACTCATGCTCTTTTCAATTGTTACAGACAGACTAACATGGCTACCCATCTTGATCTATTTCCATCCTTAGAATATTTCATTTTCCCATAAATATTCCACCCCATAATGCAAAATTATAAACTCTACAGATAACAATACCACTGGAAAACACCCCCACCAGAAAACAAGCGCCAACTGTAGAAAGCATGCAAATTTGCATAGTAATGTGTTCACACAAAATAATGTGTGGGATGCATCTTTCCAAGGCCAAGTTGTCAAGACCTACCATGCAGGGTTCTGGTTGTGAAGAATTAAAAAGAAATAAAACACTGCTCAAATGAAGCAACACACATTTAATCACACCCCAAATATGTTTCCCCCCCCCCCAATTCAGTCTTACTTCAGTGCTCTCACTGGTGAGAAGGTGGTGATGTTAAGGTACACAGAAAACTGATTACTTCCGCTGAGGCACTGAAGTCCCAGCCTGAGAGGCCTGCCTGCTGCAACAGGTTCAAATCCCCCACTCTGCCATGGAAACCTGCTGGGGGGACCTTGGGTCAGTAACTCTCTCTCTGCCTCACCTGTTCCACAGGGCTTGTTGTGAAGATAAAAAGGAGGATAAGAGAATGACAGTATAAGCTGATTTGAGTCCCCATTGAGGGAAAAACAGGGTATAAACATCTAAAGCCCTTCTACTGAGTATCTTGCAAAATGTAGCCACATGACAGAAGCCTTTAAGAGAAGAGGAGGAGGAGACTGGATTTATACCCCACCCTTCACTACCCGAAGGAGTCTCAGAGTGGCTTACAATCTCCTTTCCTTTCCCCTCGCCACAACTGTCAACCTGTGAGGTAGGTGGGACTGAGAGAGCTGTCTCTGAGAACTGCTCTTGAGAGAATAACTCTGAGAGAACTTATGACTGACCCAAGGTTACACCAGCAGCTGCATGTGGAGGAGTGGGGAATCAAACCCGGTTCTCCCAGATTAGAGTCCACACTCCTAACCACTACATCAAACTGGCTTAAGAAGGCACTATCACTGCCCTGAAAAGCGCTTTTATAAGTCAACAGTTGCGGAGAGAAGGTCCAGCTAAGAGAATGGCAGCGTTTAAACATATAAGCGAGAGATGGAAAAAGGAGAAAACCATTCTCAAAGCCAGAGACCTTTTGAAGAGGCACGAGAGAACAAGGACTATGGCATTTGCAGTTTGCAAACAGACAGCGGAAGCAGCGACCCGGAGGAGGAGCTGAGAAGCCGGAGAAGAGTAAACAGAGGAAGTTCCTGCCTGAATTTGGAGATTAAAAGAAGCCAGCCCGTAGATGATCGTTTTAAAAATCGTTGGAAATAAAGCTTTTAAATAATAAAAAAAGAAGGCACTATCACCATAAATTCAGAAAGCCCAGAAGTGGATCTTTAACAGGACTGCTATTTGGATTTCTTGTCATGGAGTTACATTTAGCAGCAAAGATTTCCAAAGAAAGAGGGCTGGATAGCCTGAAAGGTCTTCTGGTAATTCTTCTGTTAAATTAATATGTTTCCCACACCTCTTCTTTGCATCATTCTCTTAGTGGAGACAATTTCATTGCAGTTGGTGTCCTAGCCTGGATGCCTGAGCTGGAAAATGAGAACTGCTACATAATTCACCTTCTTGTCTCCAAAGCCTGCTTGCTTATATCAGTCCCTGACACTCTGGTGACTGAAAAGGCTACTAAGTTCTACGCTGGGAACTCCTGGAATGAAGAATTCCCATCAGGAAAGCCATCTGGTGGAAACACAGATGTTTGGTAACACAGCCAGGTGCCAGAGTGACCCAACCAAAGTTATCGGCAGGATAAGCATCACATCCCAAAGCCGAAGCTCAGTGAGGAAAATGTCTCACACTCACAGCAAGAAGAGAAGAAGAAGAAGAGATTGGATTTATACCCCGCCCTTCACTTGGAGTCTCAGAGCGGCGCACAAACTCCTTTCCCTTCCCCTCCCCACAACAGACACCCTGTGAGGTGGGTGGGGCTGAGAGAACTCTGACACAAACTGCTCTTTTTCAAGGACAGCTGTGCCAGAGCTTGTGACTGACCCAAGGTCACATCAGCAGGTGCAAGTGGAGGAGTGGGGAACCAAACCAGGTTCTCCCAGATTAGAGCCTGCACACTTAACCACTACACCAAACTGGCAAGCAACGGACAGTGTCATTGCGCTGGTTACTCTTTGATCACTGGACAACCATTTTCCAAAAGGAAAGCGAGTAGAGAAACCTGTGCTTTGGCTTAGTTCTCCTGACACCATTCTCAGTGGGCCTGGGATTAGACCCCTTTTGCCAGTCGCCAGGGCTCCAATCAGGAAGAAGCCTGGGCCTTTACAGTGGCGGCTCCACTCTGGTGGAATGAGTTCCCAGAAGACATCAGGGCCCTGCAGGACCCTTTACAGTTCCGCAGGGCCTGTAAAACGGAGCTCTTCCACCAGGCTTTCTATTAGGAGCCGCCACTGCAAATTGAGTCATCGGAACACGCTATGGCCCATGCTATAATGCTGGACACTGCCTTTGAACCACTTTATCGGCTGCAACGTTGGAGATTGCCTTCTTTTATTGGATTTCATCATAGGAACCACCATCTGTATGCACTAACACCAGCACTTTATGTAATTGTTGTCTATGTGATTTTATTGCATTTTATTGTTTTATTGTATTTTAACTATTGTACGCCGCCTTGAGCCAGTTACCTAGCAAGGCGGGATATAAATTGAAAGTAATAAATAAATAATAAATAAGAAGCCACAGGGTCTGGCACAAAGACATCCCACTCCACCCCCGCTGAAAACCCCAGCAGAGCCAGAACCAATCTGACCTCTATTAACAGCTCTGGGGCATTCACTTCCCTCACGGCCAATAAGAAGAAAATACTCCACACATTGTGTTGTTCGGACAGAGTGGCCTGGACACAGCACAACAACCCTTCCAGGTTCCCTCTCACCTCACCATCCTGTGCCAAAGGAGCGGTTTGGGCAGACCTCCTGCTCTCTCCACCCCAAGCGGCCACTAAGGACCACTCTACTCTTTACTCACCTCTCAGCTCCTGGAGCTCCTGGTGCAGACTTGCCATTTTGGAGTGACAGAAGTCCAGGTTTTCCAGGGTCTCGGCCTGACCCAGCTCATCCTGCGGTTGTTCCAACATTGCACTGAGTTCTGCTTGGGTCTTCCCATAAACCTCCAGCTCTTGCTCCAGTTCCTGGATGTGGCTCAGCAGGGAAGGACACTGAGGAGCACCTCCAGGCTCATCCGTGCTGCCTTGCCCCTCTTTGGCCACCGGCTGTAGCTTTGCTGGAACTGGGCTCCTTCGCTGACTGCTTGGAGGTGGGAGTGGTGCTGGCCTGGAAGGCCGCACAGAGATGGGCAGAGCTTGAGAGGGTGGTGAAGTTCTGGGACTGTGCCCAGCAGGAGAGTAAAGTGGGACAGAGGCTGGGGTGCTAGGCCGGGGAGGGGGTGGCCGCAGCACCTTTCTCCTCTGCGCAGCGTGTTCCACCGAGCCACGGACAATGTCCTTCTCAGAGTTGAAGTCTAGGATGGAAAAGTGCCGAGAGACATCTCGCTGGGGGGTGCCATGACTATTAGGACTTGCCAGGCTTTGTTCAAACTGAGCCAGTTGCTCCGTCAGTTTGGAATCAAGGTCCCCACAACTCTCCCCATGGAGCACCCCTTGAGGCCGCTCGGCTCGAGTGCCACGCCAGACAGGCCAAGTGTCCAGGCCTTCATGGGTTCCACTAAAGCTAGAAGAACGGGATTTGGGCTTTCGCCTCTGAACATCTGCACAGTTGGCTAAGTCCTCAGGAAGAATGTTCTTGTGGGGTACGTGGTGAGCATCTCCATCCCACTCAGAAAGGCTGCGGACCTCTGAGTGCCCCCAAGATGTCCTTGGGCTCTGACTTGATTCTGGGCTCCCCACCAGACAGCAGGGTTGGCGCTTTGGTTGATGTGAAGACTGAGAGATGGAAGAAACTCCATTGACAGCTTTGGCAGTGTCTAATGAGGGAAGGCCCGACACATCTGAGGAAAAGGGTTCCAGGCAGCCTTTGTTCTGGTGGTTCAGGAGTTCATTCTGTTTGAGATCAGAGTCAAAAAGGTCCTCTTGTCCCACTGTAAGGTGAGGAGGCTTCTCTTCAGGACAGACGGAACTCCATCCAGGCTCTTCCCACTCAGCAGGTGCCCCTGCTCTGTGGGCGCTTTCTGCCTCGGAGCCCAACCCCTTTGGAGTACCCCCAGATTCCCATTTTTCCCTAGGCAGTTTGATGCCCTCTTCTAACCTCACAAACCTATGGGGGAATATGCCACACCTTCCCCGAAGCTCCCCTTCCAGCCAGCCATCTTCCAGGACCCCCAGTATCCGAATCCTGTCTCCCACCTCAAAGTTCAGCTCTGCAGGTTCAAGGGCTTGGAACTGATAAAGGGCAACCCCATAGGGCCCTGGCAGCTCCTCACCATCACTCCAGGACTTCTCTTCTGCCTGGGGGTGCATTTCTTTGACTCCATTAATCCTGTGGATTTCAGATGCTACGGGCTCATCTACATTGCTTGCGGGTTTCAGGGGACCCAAAAGCTCTACAAATCCCTCAGGGAAGATGCCTCGGCGACCCCTCAGCTCCCCTTCAAACCATCCAGGCTCAGGGATCCCAACAATGGTGATGACATCCCCTTCCCGAAAGTCCAGCTCCTCCTCCAGCTGGGCTGAAAGGCCCATCACTGCTCGAGCCTGACCCAAAGCATAGGGTGGAATCTCCAGGATAGTACCATAAGGAGATCGAGGACCATAGGCTGAGAGGCAGAGTTCCCGCACACATGAGGATGGGAAGAAGCCTCTGGCTCCCCAATAATTTCGGCCTTGGAGCCAAGGAGAAGCCGCAGAATCATCCAGGACCACCAGATCTCCTGCAGGGACAAGGAAGACAAGGTCAGAGAGTTGGACCTTCAACAAACTTTGCTTAGTTCCCATCAGATTTAGGATCACTCCTTCCACAGGAGATCCTCAACGTTCTAAGCCGATGAGATGAGGGAAGCACCCAGGGGGGCTCACAGCACTCTCTGGATGGCACCTGCCAAGATACGGCAACCCAGTGCTGAGAGGGGTGAGGCATGGTGACCATCCTTGGCACCTGCCCACAGTTAGAAGACCCCAGGGTTTGGAACCAGGCTTAGCAAGTCCCATCTGGTCATGCAGGTGCCAGGAACAAGTCCCATCTGGAGAAAAGGCAGGTGCACTAGAGAAGATGGTGGGTCCTTCTTGAAGGGCCACCAGAGAACCTTACGTGAGATCCATGCAAAGGATATGAGCAGGGAGTCTGAGGTACCTCTCTGCAAAGTCAGGCTGCCAGGCTCCTGCGATGTGAAGTTGCTGGTACAAACAAACAGCTTCTCCCCTTGCTTCAACACAGGGACATCCACGGGCTCCACAAAACTGCTGGGAAACTGCCCTGGAATATAAGAAGGGACACAAGGGGTCAACATCCTCAGTGATTTTTCATGTCCTTCTCCCTTTGCGGCACTGCCCTCTCCTCCAGGACACGGGAGCACCCTGTTTTTCATTTTGCTCCCAGTTTCTTCTCTTTCTCTGCCAGTTCTCCCAGGCTCTCAGAGAAGTCATGCCATGAGAGTTGCAAGCAGGATGCACGAACAAAGGGTGCCTGCTACAAACTCTCACAGCCCTTCCAAACCTGCAAAACTGGGTTTTGTTTTGTTTTGAAAATGGTGAACCATCTCTTGCTTCCTCAGACAAAAAATGACTGAAAGCTACAAATGCCTGTCAAATATAAAACCAATCTGGGTGCATGCTCAGTTTGGCTACATAAAAGCGGATCAAGTTTGAAAACTCCTGGTGACAAATGTCAGAGCTGAGTTGTGCCAATGCTATTGAAGTGGTGACCATTCTTTAATCATCGTCCAAGACAATCAATTGTTCTGTTTGACTGAGACAAATAAATGAGTTTGTATTTTTGCTCACTGTTGTTTGTTTGTTTTCCAGGGGGGAAAAGATTCACTTAAAGGAGGCAAGTAGCAAGAAGCAGCAGAAAATGCTCCTAAACTCTTGGTTATCCTTCTGTTCTCCCCAAGGTCCAGTATAAAAAATGGGAATGTGCACAAGTGTGGGGAACTGGGAGTGGCCCAGGGGAGATCTTGACTGGCCAGACTTCACTGATCATAAAGGCCGCACAACACAGTGCCTAGATGGACCTTGGAGGCTACTGATCTGCAGAGTCCTCATTTCCCCAAGGCTCAGGCCAATTTGATTCTGGTAGAAAGTCAGCTTTGAGACTCATCCAAAAGGAACCGGCATTGCTCTAATGCAGAAGAGGCTGGTCCCCACCCTACTTGCTGCTCGAAAGGATTCTCAGTCGAAATGACTGCAATCCCTCTGCTCTGCCCTTTCCAGCTCAGAGAGGCCTTGCTAAAAACCCCTTGCCCGTAACAGAGGGAAAGAGGTTAAGATGGGCTACTGTGAAAAATCAGGTTTGGGTTTTGTTCTAGTGACACATTTGTGGTGCAGGATGAGGGTCAAATAGATGAGACTCCCATAGGACTGTGATAGGATCCTCCCAGCACTGCTAGTGTCAGCCATGCAGAGGACAGATGGGATCAAAGCTGGAAGGGGAGAAGACAGGGGGGTCTAACGTGCCCCTCTTGAGATGTTTCGCTGATGGAAATCATCCAAAGCACAATGTAATTAGCTCTAAAAAGACAGCCAGCACATATTTGTTTCTTTTATTGGGCTAACTATAATGTTTGGGGGTGGGGATCAGTTTCAGCCAGCAAAATCAAAGAAGTGGAGAACAGTTAACTTTTGTCCTGCACCCCTTCCTGGATGGTCTGGATCCACTGATCCCTGACCAATGGATATTAGCATATTTAAAAAAACAAAAACAAAAACCACCCAGAAAGATCCAGGCAGGGTCTCCCAACATCTTCTTCAGTTTAACATGAAAGAGGGAGGGGGAGAAAATGAACATCCAAGCTGGAAAAGGGCTCCCTCTCCTGGTCACTTGACGTTATTTCTTAATGCTTCCTATTTACAGCAGCATTGGCCAAGGGCCTGTTGTTCATCCTGTTGGACCCTCTTGGCAAATCTGTAAAGCGAGAGGGCAGTGCTCGTGCTGTGATGGAGCCTGCATCACCCCATTCCAGATGAAAGTTCAGCCATTTTGACTGTGTGCTGTAATGCAAACAGGTTCAAAACATTCACAGGGGGAAGAGCAGCAGGGGCTGGCACCACTCCTTCCCTCTTCCCCTCCCCTCCCCACCCCCATGATAAACAGAGCCAAGAATGGTCCCTGCTCTCCTCGGGAGGACACGGCCTGGTGGGAGCTGCTAAGGGCAATGAGTGACCCAACCACAGCACTGGTGGGCTGGAGCTGGTATGGCCACTAAAAGGGGCTCCTAAGGCAGGAATCGAAAGATGACCAAGAGGAGACTCAGCTCTGCTCTTCAAACAATGGCCTGAAGTCTTGGGGGGTGGTAGTTGCTGCTCTGCCATCAGGGGATTGTTATCGAGCTGATCCCACAGCATGGCATACGAAGTACAGTGAGACACTCATCTTTTATCAGACCAGCTGGTTGTATTCTAAAGAGAAAGCTGTTCTAGCTGATACACATTCATTATCACCCCACTCATTCTGCATTTGAAGTAAATTCTCTCCCCCTTTTTTTCTTCTGCTTAGCTCTGGATTCGTTCCACCTCTTCCCTTGTGGCTGGACTGGAGAAATGATCTAGGGCAGTGATGGCGAACCTTTTAGAGACCGAGTGCCCAAACTGCGACCCAAAACCCACTCATTTATCGCAAAGTGCCAACATGAAGTTTTACTTTAGAAAAAACAACTCACACATTAACTTAAGATGATCCAAACAGAGTAAGGAAAGCAATCCCAAATGCTTTCATTTACTTAAAATTATTTGGTAGAGAATTTGACACTTTAACGATGGTCTGGGCCTGGCTGGGGCGATGGCACGCGTGCCCACAGAGAGGGCTCTGAGTGCCGCCTCTGGCACCCGTGCCATAGGTTCGCCACCACTGATCTAGGGTTCCCTTTGGCGCCTACCTGTGACCCCTTCCTTCTTCCCAAAGAGCCAGAACTCATCTATAACTGCCAGCACTTCTGTGACATCCCCCACAAACAGCGGCAGTTCCTCGGAGACACTGGGACAGAAGTCAAACACAGCCCGGACCACCGAGCCTGCCTCCATGGTTTGGATCTGCAAGGAAAAGATACAGTGTCAGTGCAGCTCATCACAGACAACAAGGGACATTCCGAAAGCGCAGAGATGCAGGAACCCCAAGCAGTGACTCCAGAACATCGCTGACACTTTTGACAGCCACTGCTCACTGGGATGCAGGACCACCATTGTGCATTGTAGCCTCATGCCCCTAGGCCTGCACAACCACTCTGCACCTCCATGTGCTTGTTAGCACCGGTAACTCCATACTTCCTAGGCAGGCAACTCACACTTGATTGCCACATGGGCTCTGCTGTCCTCCACAGATGTCTGTGGTTAGTCCTCTACAGGCCCGTAGCCAGGATTTTTCAGTTTGGGGGGCCCTTTAAAAAAGTTGCAGGGCACTAAAGTGAAAATAATTTTGTTTTTTAAAAAAGCTTACGTAGGCTGGCTGGCTGGCCCCTGCCCCAGCTGGTCTCCCCATGTGGTGGCTGGAGGGAAGGGCCCACCAGGATCCAGTGGGACTAAAGCGGTTCTCACCTTTCCTTCCCCCTCCGCTGAAGCAAGGAGCCACGGAAGGGGGCAGCAAGTCCCTCCTGAAAGCACCGGGGCCACTGGGCTTGGGAGGGGGAGTCTCTCCTCCGCCATGTCTGCAGCCTGACCATGGTGGTCCCCCCCCACCCGGGTGGTCTGTGAGACCATGGGGACTCATCATGCCTCTCTGCCCCGGCTGGCATGGGCCGGTGGAACGCTCGAGGGCGCCATCCTTCATAGGGCCGGGGGCTCCAGCTACGCACCGTCAGAGCCGGAACTAACCAGGCGCTTTCTCAGCAAAGGAGTGCAGGAGCTGCTTTGGACACTCGACGGCCAGCCCGGGAAACCAGCTGGGGGAGGGAGCCTCTCTTCCTGTGGGGTCTTCCTCGTCCTAGCTCAGGTTGCAAAGAGGGGCTTCGTAGCCCCCCCACCACAGCCGAGTTTCTTCTCCGGGGGCCAGGGAGAGCAGGAGCGGAGGGCGGTGCTGCTCTAGAGCTGGCAGGGCATTAAAGGGCGCGGTGGGCGCCGCGTTCCCTGGTGGCAGCAATGACGATGACAGAAGGGTGCCAGTGGCACAGTCCAGATGCCCCGCTCCTAAACCCGCTATTCCATTGGATCCTTGGCGCCAGCCCCCCCACAGGTTGGCCCTTGCTGCCTCTGTGGCCCGCGCTGCCCCCAGCGTCCTTTCTACTCTTTGAGAATAGTACTTTGTCCGGTGTCTTTTTTGGGGGGAGCAGGAGGTCGCCCCGCTTCGCTGGCTGATCACCCTGGATCGAGCCATTGCCCTTGGCACACACTCTCAGGGGCACTCTCGTCACTGAGCGGAACGTCAGCCTTCCCAACAGGTGTCCTGAACTCTGGCCTGTGGCCTCTGGCACAAATCCAGCTGGGGTAAATAGGAAGTCAGGGGGCCTTGACCGGAAGTCAGGGGGCCAGCCCCCGAAATGTTCCAATGTAGCTACGGGCCTGGTCCTCTACCTTTCTGTGGCTGACAGCTGGTGACCCCAGGTTCCCCATATAGTCTTCCAGGTAAGATGAGGGGCTTTGCCTAAACAACAGCCACTTTGGACTACTGTTGCCTGCCTGGCCCACTCTCTCATGGTCTCCCACCTCATTTTTACTTGATATCTGTAGCCCTTCTCCACTCCCAGCTTCATGCTCTGCTTTCAAGGTTCTTGACTTTGCCTGCTCTTCAGGAATGCTCTGGCTTCACCTTTGGCCTGTCTCTGCATGGCAGGCTCCATATCCTGGAACCCACGCATGCTGGCTCTGCTGTATAGCTGGGCTCTGACTGTCTGGCACAAATCTCCATCCTACCTGTGGCAAACAAAGAAATCTGTAGCCACTGGGAACACTTCTAAGTCCCTAGGCTTCCAGGGATGCGTTTTTGAAGGAGCAGAGGGGGCATCCAGTGCAAGAGCTATTCTTGCCCATTTCCTCAAACTCCAGAAGCAAGCTGTTGTGAGCCCAATTGAGGAAGAGGAATCAGGGTAGGGAGGAATTCCTGTCGGGAAGGAACAGCAAGATGCAGCGGAAGTCCAGCACTTTCCTGATGCATGGAATTGGGCTCTTGGCTGCCAAGGGCCATCAAGCAATGTGCAAACATAGACTGGGGCAGTCCATGAAAAACACAGAAGGGGAAAAGACACTCCAAAAAGGCTTTGAGAAATGAACAGACTCACCTGGGCTGGCTTGAGTGTGGTTGCCAACTGAGCTGCAGACTAAGAAACTTATTCCGCTGATTTTTGAAGACCCAACTGCTGCTCAAGGCATGGGAGCTGTTGGCTGGGATGCTTTTTTGTCACCCCTACACCTGTCTCCATGGGACTCTTTCACCCAAATAAAAAAAGCCCCAGATCCCAATGCTGGGCATCTTCTAACACCAGAGACCAAGAGAGGCCAAGCACACGCCCTCCCCTCAGACAACAGAAAGGGTCACATATTCCCTCCCCCACCCCAAAGATGACAACGATGCCACTCTGCTGAAGAACAAATAGTACCCACCAACCAGACCAGGGCGTTTGGCTGGACAGACTTGAGGGGGAGCAGCTGGATTTGTACTGAGAAAAGGGTAAAGGCCTTTAATACAACAGGATGGGTATGCGAGTGAAAAGGACAGAGGGAACTTAGCCATGGCAACACATTTTGCTGATGGCCTTGCTTTGTTATCAGGCAGCAGAGGCCTCGTGGCCACACTGTGACGGGGTTGTGCCCCTCAGAAATGCTGCCTTGGCAATTCCTAGCTTTTATGCTGCTGGCACGCATACCCAGAACCATACTAAAAGTTGCCTCTCAACTAGTAGCAGCATATGTCCCCCCAAGTTCCTCCTCCTCTTTTGGGCTTCTCCAAAGTGCATCAGATCAACACCACCTGCCCTATCAGGCTGACTTAGGAATCCACTAAAAGCAGGAAAGCTCTTGGCACAAAAGGGCATTATCAGGGAATTAAACAGAAACATCTAGAAATATGAAGTCAAAGGACGCAAAGTCCTGGCAGTCTGCCCCACAGATGTGAGAATTTCCCAGTACCCACCCCATACAATCTAGAAAACAGGAGACCCCAGACAGAGTATGCTTGCACAGCAGGGGAGGGAGAGAGTCTCACCCAGAGTCAAGATGTTTTACAGAAACGGAATGGAACAGGCACAACGGGCTGAAAAGAAGGAACCTAAGAGGCAGACAGACATGGATGATCGAATCAAGGTCAAAACAGAAAGTAGCCCGGGGCAAAAGTTACCGCACATAAGATCAAGGAACAGAGGCAGGAGGAAGGTTGTCTGCTACCCATAGAAAGGGAATGCACTGGCTAGAGAGATCTGGAGCTCACCCGTAGCTAACATGGGGCCCACGGGGCCCGGCCCCCTAGTGTTTCTTCTGGGGCCTCTCCCTCCTGGGCTGCCCCCAAAGTGTTCCAACTTACCACCTGCACTGTACTTCCATTTAATTAGTCGGTGGGCCCCCTGTGGCCCCCTCCCAAAGAATTCCCTAGCTACAGGGCTGATTTCTGGAGGTCAAAGACATGGCGGGGGAGGGGAGGGGTGCCAGATGCAAATTGAGTGAGCTCCTGTATCTTTATGAGCTACAGGAAAGAGAGAATTCTAACGGGTGGGCTATAGCCAAGAGACAATGGGATGTGGAATCTGGCTTTCACATATGGGTCAGAACTAACCAGCTGCAGCGCTGGCTAGCCTAGGGTTTTTAATACACAGCAACTGTGACACAAAGCACAATTCACTGTAATACCACAAACGAGTTAAAACACACACTTCTATGCATCAGTACAGATGCATCAAGTTTAATGATGCTACATCGTGACCTACAACAAAAGAAATAATTATTGGGGAAAGTCTGCACTCTAATATCAACATCAACAGCATGGCATTACAAGGTTCGTAGCAGGAAAAAGTGCAGGTTAACGATATGCCCAAAATTTATGTTCAAATTACCGCAAGTTCAATGCACACATTCCTCAATAGAGTCTCTTCCAGTGCGTGAGATAAAACTATATATTAACTCGAGGCAACATGGCTGCAAACAGCCCATCCAAGGCAGCACCAGTGAGCAGCATGTGGTGGGCAGAAGAAATGGCACACACACACCCAACTCTCATGCACTCACTGCTGGTCCCACCCCTACCCCCTCCACTGCACCTGAGGACAACTGAAGAAGTAACAGCCATTTCACCAGGACCCTCCTATGGCCCAGAAGACACCCTCCCTTCCCCCTCACTTTCCCTTTTCCTGCTGAGCGGCCCTGTAGCGCTACACAGCGAGTAAAGGCGGAAAGCCCTCTAAAGAGCTAAGCAGGGCCAGCTCACCCACTAGGCAAACTAGGCATTCGCCTAGAGCGCCAAGCCCTGGATGGGGCGGAGGGCCCTGGATGGGGTGCCGAACTGTGCCCCCCGCCAAAAGCCCGCGCGCCATTGCTGCTCCCAGCCGTGTGGCATGAGGGGCCGAAAGGAGAGTGGAAGGCCGCCTCGCCTTCCCCCTCCACCTGGGGTCGGCTCTTGTAAATCCAAATGCAGGGTGTTTTGTTTTGGGTGCCCAGAAACCTCGCCGCCGTCTCCTCACTCGCCTAAGATGTCTGGCCTCAGTGGCGGCAGCAACAGCAACTCCCAATCCGGCTCCTGCACCTCCGTCTCTTTGCGCCACCTTTGCATTTGCAACGCACCAACTTTGAGCTCCTCATTCTCGAGTACGGAAGCTCTCGCTGCTGCTGCCGCGGCTCCAATGGAGGCAAGATTGCTCGTCGCCCTCTCCCCCCCCCCCCAAGCGCCCCACCACCTGCCGGCTTCCCCCCAAACAACAGCTCCGCTTTGGCTTGCAACAGTCTCGCCTCCCCCCCCCTTCTCCCCTCCTGCCACCCGGCTGCTGTCTTAAAGGGGCTGGCGCCGCTTCAAAAGCACCCTCAGAGTCACCCGCGACGTCAGCTTGGCTCGGGCTCACTCCTCAAGGGGAGTTTTGTCCAAAAAATTAAAATGCAAGCGAATGGAACCT